TATTGTTTCTGCTGGGGACCTTACACCTTTTTCGTCTGCTTTGGCACGGCTTACCCCGGGTATCCCTTCCATCCTCTGGCTGCCGCCATGCCTGCATACTTTGCCAAAAGCGCCACTATCTGGAACCCAGTCATCTATATCTTCATGAACCGACAGGTGGGCACAGCGGTATCCTTGCCACATTAATCACATCTAAATCAAACATGTTTGGTTTATATATTTTTAAAATGCTTTCTTATTCTGTACCTTACAGTTCCGATCATGCATCATGCAGCTCTTTGGCAAAGAAGGGGAGGATGGCTCTGAAGTATCCACATCAAAGACAGAGGTCTCCTCTGTGTCTCCTGCATAGACCTCCATGTTCTCCCTTTTGGAAAAAAACTGAGAGCCATTGTAATTTGTACAGCAAATACTTGTTTCTTTTTTTTTTAGTAAAGAAGTATAGCTTTCTGGCAAATGGAAAAGCAAAAAAATAAATAAATACATAAAGCAAAAAAATAATTATACCTGTTTTTTTCTTTTGGGGATTTTATTTACTTGTGCAGAGATCCTTAGATACCATTAGAACCTTTTTCTTTGCAGTGGTGTTAATGTAACTGTTTAATAAGACACCTTTTAAACATTTTAAAGTGTTAAGAAACTACTATTAATTAGTTATGGAGCAACTCCAGATTGTTCATCTTCGTAGATGTCTTTTTTAGTAGAACTGAGCAAAAGAACAAACCACAGGGGTTGACATACTATCACTCACGTACATATTCAAAAGTACTATTGTATTCGGCATTAATACCGACAGTTAGAAGCCCAAGACAGCGCTTCCAGATTCTCTCTATCCTCCCCCTGGGAGTTGGCAGAAATAGACTGCATGATTTTGACAACAGAAAACAATCTGTCTGTTGTTATTTACACAGCACTTAATGGTCAACAGGGGTGTTGTTAGGATCTTGAAACACTGGAGGCGTTACCCAGACCACATTGCACCCCCACACCACCACGGTAAGTCTACAATATAATCTTCACCTTCCTAAATCTGTACCAGACAGTTGACTCAGCATTTACATAGTCTAAATGTATTATTATTTTTTTTTTGCAACTAATAGTTATAACATAATAACAACCATCATCTAATCAATTGGGGGTTCTCCCCAAGGAAAATTTGAGACATAAACATTTCCTGCATTTTGGTGACATTATCTCTACCAATTTATGCTTTTTCTGCATCAATTTATGGTGGAAATGTCTTTATTTAATATACATGTTTCTCCTGTAGCTGAACTTTTCTCATTTAATATCATCCTTGTTCAGTCAACACACATGATTTAGTCTTCTCTCCTTTTTGTGTCTTTTGTTTGGGCAAGCAATCTCTTCAAATGTGCACATGGCACCTAAAAATCTGATCTGATATCCCCAAAAATCGAAACTAAATGAAAACACTTAAAAAAAAAAAGGTGAAAAAACGGAAATATCCTGGCAGCTGGGACGCCAGAGAAATACCGTAAAATAACAGTAAATAACCCACTCGTAAAAATATGGTAATATTTACTTTAATTTTACATAAAATCTTGTGCAATTTTTGGGGCTTTTATTGTTTAAATAAGAACATATACACCTGTAAAACAATTAAATTACCTTTAAATATAGTTGAACACTGCTATAATACAAATAATCAGGCTTAAAATTTATAGTAGAGTGCTGCTTTTAATTGAGTTTTATTATAGAATTTCACATAAAAATCTTGTTAATGCAATCAATATATATTGTAAAAATTTGCAAAAATACTAGATTTTCTACTAGATTTTCCTTTAATAAAAAAAAAATACTGTCAAAATACTGTTCTAAAACTGGTAATCCGCTTTGTGTATGGGTTCATTGGACTTTTGGACCATTCTTCTAGAAGGGCATTTGTGAGGTCAGGGACAGATGTTGGATGAGAAGGCCTGGCTCGCAGTCTCCGCTCTAATTCATCCCAATGGTGTTCTACCGGGTTGGGGTCAGGACTGTGCAGACCAGTCAAGTTCTCCACACCAAACTCGCTTATTCATCTCTTTATGGACCTTGCTTTGTGCACTGGTGCGCAGTCATGTTGGAACAGGAAGGGGCCATTCCCAAACTGTTTCCACAAAGCTGGGAGCATGAAATTGTCCAAAATGTTTTGGTATGCTGCAGCATTAACAGTTCCTTTCACTGGAACTAGGGGGCTAAGCCCAACCCCTGAAAAGCACACCTTTACACAATTGGCAAATGCAGTCAGGCCAGTACCATTCTCTTGGCAACCGCCAAACCCAAACTTATCCATCAGATTGCCAGACAGAGAAGCGTGATTCGTCACTCCAGAGAACACGTCTCCACTGGTGGCGCCGTGCTTTTCACCATGTATCCGACGCTTTGCATTGCATTTGGTGATGTAAGGCTTGGATGCAGCTGCTCGGCCATGGAAACCCATTCCATGAAGCTCTCTACGCACTCTTCTAGAGCTATCTGAAGGCCACACGACATTTGGAGGTCTGTAGCTCTTGACTGCAGAAAGTTGGCAGCTTCTTCAGAGGCGCCGACTCCACTCTGTGATTTTATGTGGCCTACCACTTCAAGGCTGAGTTTCTGTTGTTCCAAATCACTTCCACTTACTTAAATAATATATTATAAAACCACTAACAGTTGACCTTGGAATATTTAGTAGTAAGGAAATTTAACAAATGGACTTATTGCACAGGTACCAAGCTTGAATTCACTGAGCTCCTGAGAGCGACCCAATCTTGGAGCTGTGTCTAACAGTATCCAAAATATTCTTTAATTTGACCCAATTAGGTTTCTAATGAATAGATCTGAAAATGTCATCAATAAGGTATATAAAAACTAAACTACTGTTGTTTCAGGAGAACAATTCTTTACACTGAAATGTTTGACTTGTGTGGCTTATTTGTTGTGAGCATGGAACTGAATAAATGGTCTGTAAATAGTATCAGATGTGTGACTTTTGTTTTGTGGTAGTACTTTAAAAGGTCTGTTGGGTGGTGTTGGCGCAATGGATAAGACACATGCCTTTGGTGTGAGAGACCTGGGTTCAATCCCCCACTGTGACCCATCCACGTGCAACCTCAAGTTGCTTTAGATAAAAGCGTCAGCTAAATGTAAATGTCTGTTTTCCAAATATCCATAATTAAAGGCGATATTTGTCAATTAATAAGAAAATCTATGTCAATTTACAGAACAAATGTTTTTTGTTATGGTTAACTGTTACTAATTGTATCAAGTTTAAGAAATGTTTTCACAGTATTAAACTTATTTTTAACAGTTTTTTCATTTAAATAAAAATAATATTCATGAAAATACTGGAAATTCCTGAATGTATTGCAACAGTTTATTTATGTCAAAAAAAACATTTATGTTAAAATAACATAAATGTTATGGTTAATCACAGCTACAGGTTTTTCATGTTATTTTACATAAGACATGTAAATTCACAGTTTAATTTAGCAATTTTCTGATTTTTTCATGTATTTCAAAAATACAAGAAAAAACTGAAATAAAAAGGAATGAAATTTTAAAATTACAGATTTTTTTTTTTACAGTGCATAAATCTCACCACGAATCCACACAAATTTTTTATTTCAGTGCAGCTCACACTCACTACAGATGGGAGCATCTTGGAATAGTGAGAGAGCCCCAAACAGAACAAAGATGTCTCAAGCAAGAGATGCAGAGACACAGAACTACATTTGCTTAACATTTAGCTGATGCTTTTCACCATGTGCTATGTACACTCACCTAAAGGATTATTAGGAACACCTGTTCAATTTCTCATTAATGCATTATCTAATCAACCAATCACTGGCAGTTGCTTCAATGCATTTAGGGGTGTGGTCCTGGTCAGACAATCTTGAACTCCAAACTGAATGTCAGAATGGGAAAGAAAGGTGATTTAAGCAATTTTGAGTGTGGCATGGTTGTTGGTGCCAGACGGGCCGGTCTGAGTATTTCACAATCTGCTCAGTTACTGGGATTTTCCCGCGCAACCATTTCTAGGGTTTACAAAGAATGGTGTGAAAAGGGAAAAACATCCAGTATGCGGCAGTCCTGTGGGCGAAAATGCCTTGTTGATGCTAGAGGTCAGAGGAGAATGGGCCGACTGATTCAAGCTGATAGAAGAGCAACTTTGACTGAAATAACCACTTGTTACAACCGAGGTATGCAGCAAAGCATTTGTGAAGCCACAACACGCACAACCTTGAGGCGGATGGGCTACAACAGCAGAAGACCCCACCGGGTACATCTCCACTACAAATAGGAAAAAGAGGCTACAATTTGCAAGAGCTCACCAAAATTGGACAGCTGAAGACTGGAAAAATGTTGCCTGGTCTGATGAGTCTCGATTTCTGTTGAGACATTCAGATGGTGGAGTCAGAATTTAGCGTAAACAGAATGAGAACATGGATCCATCATGCCTTGTTACCACTGTGCAGGCTGCTGGTGGTGGTGTAATGGTGTGGGGGATGTTTTCTTGGCACACTTTAGGCCCCTTAGTGCCAACTGAGCATTGTTTCTGACCATGTCCATCCCTTTATGGCCACCATGTACCCATCCTCTGATGGCTACTTCCAGCAGGATAATGCACCATGTCACAAAGCTCGAATCATTTCAAATTGGTTTCTTGAACATGACAATGAGTTCACTGTACTAAAATGGCCCCCACAGTCACCAGATCTCAACCCAATAGAGCATCTTTGGGATGTGGTGGAACGGGAGCTTCGTGCCCTGGATGTGCATCCCACAAATCTCCATCAACTGCAAGATGCTATCCTATCAATATGGGCCAACATTTCTAAAGAATGCTTTCAGCACCTTGTTGAATCAATGCCACGTAGAATTAAGGCAGTTCTGAAGGCGAAAGGGGGTCAAACACAGTATTAGTATGGTGTTCCTAATAATCCTTTAGGTGAGTGTATATCAGAGGTCGCATGCCTCCGGAGCAACTTGGGGTTAAGTGTCTTGCTTAGGGACACAGTAGTGGATGTGTTGCAGTGGGAACCAACCCTGGGAATCTCACACCAAAGGCATGTGTCTTATTCAATGAGCAATTGCCACTCTGCTCGCTACTGGTCAGAGGAAAGACGCCATGCCATGAGCGATTCAAAAGTCCTAAAAGATACCTGAACTAGTTTTCTGTGATGTTGTTAGTGTTCAGATGAACCCAAATAAATAAAGAAATAAATATAATGATACCAGTAAAAATAATAATGAATAATAGTAACAATAATAATAAACACAAAATGTGCATCTTCTTTCTGTTCCTTTATGAACAAAAAGAAATAATAAAATACAATAATAAAATACACAATGAGGTAAGGGGAGACATTATTCACACAGATCTTGATGAACGAAATAGTTCAAAAGTTCAAAATCTTTACTACCTACATGCCTGTCTGCATTTCTCACAACATCT